GTTAAATTATGGAGTATAAATACTTTCCATACCTTTACCATTATATTGTACGCAAAACTTTCCATGAACAATTATTAATATTATGAAATAGTCGTAAACCTACGAATATTAATGAAATTATGAAATATAAATAACTTCCATACTTCTACTATATTGAAAGTACGCGTTCATTTTTCCAGCAGCTGTTGCAAAGCTTTTTCATGTATAATTTATTAATATTATAAATATTCATAAAGCCTATGAATATATATAAATACTTTCCATGATACTTCTGCTAGTCTTCTGCTACGCAAATGTACAATGAGCAGTCCTTGCAAAATAGAGCGTATAGAGAATATTAAGTTTGTTTATTTAATTCGTGTTTAGCTATTTTTAGATGATCACATGAACACCTGTCTCTTATACACATCTAGATGTGTATAAGAGACAGGTGATAAGAAGATGAAGAGGAGTGATGGGAAGATGAAGAGGAGTGATGGAAGACGAAAAGGAGTGATGGGAAGATGAAGAGGGGTTATGGGAGACTAAAAGGAGTGATTGTAGACGAAGAGAAGTGAAAAGGAGTGATGGGTGACGAATAGGAGTGATGGGTGACGAAAAGAAGTGATGGAAGATGAAGAGGAGTGATGGGAAGATGAAGAGGGGTTATGGAAGACTAAAAGGAGTGATTGTAGACGAAGAGAAGTGAAAAGGAGTGATGGGAGACGAATAGGAGTGATGGGTGACGAAAAGAAGTGATAGGTGACGAAAAGAAGTGATGGAAGACGAAGAGGAGTGATGGGAGACGAAGAGGAGTGATGGGTGATGGAAAGGAGTAATGGATGACAAAGAGGAGTGATAGGAGACGAAGAGGAGTGATTAGAGACAAAATGGAGTGATGAGGGATGAAGAGGAGTGATGGGAGACGAAAAGGATTGATGGGAGACGAAAAAAAGTGATAGAAGACAAAAGAAGTAATTGGAGACGAAAAGAAGTGATGGGAGACGAAAAAAAGTGATGAGAGACGAAAAAAAGTGATGGAAGACAAAAGAAGTGATGGAAGACAAAGAGGAATGATGAAAGATAAAAAGGAGTGATGAGAGACGAAAAGAAGTAATGGAAATGAAAAGAAGTGATTGAGGACCCCGAAATATACATAAAAGGGTTAGGTCAGAGTTTGCGTATACTGAGTCAAAAAATCATGTAGATCATTCCTTTTATGGATAATCCCAGCCAAAATAATATTTCCTAATTTAGATAATGGCTGAAATTATCGTAATTCCGGCCCTGAAAGAATGCGTATTTTGGACCACTTCTGGACCTGACCTCTACATATATATTTCGGGGTCCT